TCTTTCCCGACAGCTTCCTCACTCTTTCAAGTCTTAGGCCAAAGGGCTGCAGCGAGCTGCATAGCTGGCAGCTCCTTTGCCCGCTGAAGCACAGAGCTAGCCAGCTCTAGCTGGTATGTCCTGCAGTAGGAGCCGCTCCGCAGCTTACAACAGGTTTTGGTGTGCAAGATTAAGTCATTTCAGGAAGATACTGAAAAATCCTGAACAATCACACACTATGCAAGATCACTATCAACAAAACAGTGTGCAAGTCGGGAGGTTGGGCTGAGTTTCAGGATTACACAGTGCCTCAACAGGGTGCTTAAAGCATGTAATGTATACATGTATCTTTAAAGAGAGAGAATCATATATACAGCTCCATCTAGCACTTCTACCAAAGATGTGTGAAAACACATAAAGCCAGAAATCATTTGCCAGAGAAGAAGAAAACCTCCCTTTTTCTCTACAGTCACCTGACAGTACGAAGAGTGCAGGCATATCCCACTGTAAGGTCCTTCAAATGTAAGAATGGAGGGCTCCTGACCAACGTCCCTCAAGAAACAGAAGCACCTCGTGATCTGCCCTGCAAGACACAGGGCATCCTTTTTTCCGACTTAAGGAAAAAAGAGCTTCCCAATATTCATAGTATAAAGCAGAGACCAAAGAGACTGCTTGGTAAGAAACACAACACTAAGGTCTGAATCCTGAAAATGCTTTAGCAAATTGTAATTAAAACCCCTTCCCAAAGACCTGTGCATGGACAGAGGAAAGCGTAATTTGCTGTAAAAAGCAGGGGTGGGTGGTACAGATGACAAAATGCAAGTACTGAACTAATGATAAGAGCAAAGAAAAGTAATAAAAGGAGAAAAGGATGACCAACAAGTAAGAAGTTAAAGAGTGAAAGGTGAAAAGTCTTTAAATAGGCTCTCCAAGTGACACAGAAGTAAAAATAAAGAAAGATAAGGGGTTAAAGGGGTAGGTAGTAGAGCAGTTCATTAAACGGCAGGTAAAGAAGATTAAGGTAACCAAACAACACGGGCTAACTACAAAAATAGTAGGTGCCCTTAAGACTGGAAGGTGGGGAAAGAGCTTAGCCCAGGCACAATAAAGGAAAGCGAAAAGCCCCAAGTTAAGCGAAGGGGAATGGGAATAGGGAAGGTAGAGCCCTGGACTGCTCTCCAGCTGGGTGAGCACCTCTTTCTAGTGGGATGTTGCAGGCCTTCACAGCAACCAGACTGCGATTAGGGGTTTACCTTTTAAGGCAAACACAAGAAAAATATTTTTACTGTATTAAAAAAATCAAAACTTTAAGGCTAGATGCTAAACAGCAGCCTTTAGATCATTAATCCAATCCAATGGCTCTTTGGGTGGTGTTCAGAAATGAACTATATGTAACCATTGTGTACACCAGATGAAAAAAAAGGTCAGTTTTTTGGCATGTTTTTTTGACCAAACCAACAGCAGCGTCAAAGAAACAGGCAGAGAACCTAACCAAGAAACTCACAACAGGCAACTCAATCCAGCATTTAACACACACCTTGAATAACTTCCTCAAAAGAAAACACCTTTAGGGTTTTTTTTGCCTATTTATAATGAATTCCATCAGTAACTCACTAGGAGAGGGACACAGACAAGATTTCCCAATTTGTGGTGTGTGGTGAGGTCAGGCTCAAATCTACTTTTGGGCAATAGAATTGAAGTAGTTTTGACATATGTGCAGAAGCTTTATTCAGGCACCGATTTCTGACAACTCTGGCCAAGACACTGTCGCTCTTCGCAAAGCACTAGTCAGCCCATACTACTGTTGACTCTCCACAGGTAAACTAGTCAAATAAATCTGGCACTCTATTTTTTTCTAGTTATTGTTCTAAAGGAATATTTAAACAAATTTCAAATTCTCTCATTTATCAAAGAAAGGTAATTTGAACTATACAGAGTCCTTTCTGTGGATTCCCCAAGTGATCCTGCAGCACAGATATTACCCCAACTGAATGTTAAAAAGGAATTTCCCACAGGGGTCCTGTGCAGCTGCCCTTCCCTTTCAGGGTGAAGGAAATCCAACCCACCTTGCAGTCTCCTTCCATTCCATCTCTTGTCCATCAACGGCCAGAAGTTCATCCAGCTCCGTGAAGAGCTGCGGGGGTGCCGGGCTGTCATCTTCCTCTCCGAGGATGAAGCGGATGCGTTCGGCAGCGGGGGAGACTGCAGAGGTGAAAATACTGCGGTTAACGGCCTGACAGATGACCAGGGACGTGCGGCTCCTCTCCTTCCCCTTCTCCCCAAAGCCATTCAGCTGTTTCTCCAGGCTGTCTTTTCCATTTGACATCCTAGTCGCTGCAGACGGAGGGGCGTGAGCGAGGGTAAGTCTATCTCCTTCTCTCCCCTTCCTTGCTCTCACTTCACTTCTTGAAAGTTCAAGCTGGGAGTAAAGTTCAGGAAAACTTGCCTCTTCCTACAGTCCTTAACTATGTTACAGCAATTTGCAGCCCTTGTAAAAAAAAACGCTATCAAGCTCAAAACCAATATGCTCTATGGTGCGCGCCCAAGGACGTTTCGTACTGTGATCAGCTGAGATCCTTCGCCCCCTTTTTTATATGACGTAAAACCAGTTTCAGCCAAACTATTTTGGGGCTTGCTGTGACAGCATCCCATAGCTGGCTTTCCCCTCCCTGCCAGCAAGGCTCGGGCTCCCATTGGCCTGCAAGGCAGGCTGTAACCTCCCCAGACCTACCACTGGAAAACACAGGAATATTTAACAGAGAGGTTGTCTCATCTATACATGAAGAATGCGACCCAACACATTTAGTCAGGCACCAACGCACTGAAAAAAAACAACTGTTCCCACTGGGAAATGACTGCCCATTTAGGCAAAAGAAACAATGTTCAACACATGCTCTTGTGATAGCACAAGCAAAGTTCATTTGCATTATTAGCACAAGAAAAATTAGCAGAAACCCCTTCCTTGTTAAGCAACACACATGATTCAAAATTAAAAATGGAGAACGTCACTGTTCACATCCCAATACCTAAGGGCATCTCCCAAGGCAACTGGAGCTCGTGCCACAAGAGTCACCTTACTGGAGGACTTCTTGGGGTCTACAGTTTTTTCCCCAATCATATCACCTTAAAATGAAGGTGTGATCATGTGAAATTTTAAGACAGACATCCTTTCTGTAGAATGTTTACTAGCATTAAACAGCAGACTATGAACTTTGAACGGTTCTGCTAAAAACTCCTTTCTTTTCAAAAGATCAGCTGTCTGTCTGTTGCAAAATAATTAATTACACCAGGTGTCCAATCACCGCTGATTTTTCCAGGGTAAACAAAGTCTGAATTTGTAATGGGAAAAAAGGAACCAGTAACAAATATGCCCTTTCCTCGCCCCCCCCCTTTCTTTTTTCTAAAGAAACTTTTCATAGCTTTCTTCTTAAATTACTCAGCAAAGATTGATAATAATTAATTTCTTCCTCAATTAGTGTGATGATGCTTTCATAATATAAAACAGATTTCTACTCAAAGTATATTTGCAGTCATAAATGCCCTTGCAATTCCCTGGGCATTCGAGTACTTCGCACTGCACTGGCTCTGCAAACTCAGGCAAGAGGGATAATAACATACGGATCCACGCATCTGGAAAGCCCCGCAACACTCAGGCCAGGATGGTATTGAGAGTACAGGTTGTTCAGCATCCTAGCACCTACCAGGTTTTTGGCTTTAAATGTTTATAGAGGAGCCACATGTCCCTTCTTTAACGTCCCAACTCGACACCAGAGAAAGCAACCTCTGAAGAGGTCTTCAGAGTACTGCATGTCCTGCTAAATGGGCTGGAAAGTGATTTCCTTCTCTCACTTAGACGGGAGCAGGGACATTTACATGCTCCTTCTTTCTCCTGTCACAAAGTCCTCAGCACAGAAACACAATCCCATTAAGAATATCTATAAAAGCCCTGACCATCCCTTAGTATGGAGCATAACAGTCCAGCCTCTCTACCTGCCAGCTGGGTGCATCAATCTGTGTTTTCCAACACTACCATCATGCCTCCACAGGTGCAACCCACTGAGGCACCACAAACTGGTGCTGATCTATACCTGTTTCCAGAAATCCCCACCTACTATTCCCCACGATTTTCACCTCCCTGAGACATGGCCCCTACCACCCTCCTCTGTAGCGCTGTGTAGCACAGCCCTTGCCAATCCCCAACACAAATAATTGTGTATCACCACTCCTTTCCCAAGCTCATTATTTCAAGGGTACTGTTCCACAACCAGAGTTACCTTAAACATGACTGTCTCAGAACGTCTGCTACCGCAGCCTTCCAAGACAGACCAACCGGTCTGTGCCTCTGCCACTACATCACATACACCACACATTGCCCATCATTCAGTAAAATTCCCAGACTGGCTACACAAATGCTTTCGCATTTCCCATCAGTTCTCCCTCTGAGAAAATCCACCACTTCCAACAAAAAAAAAAAAGCTTTCCTTTGATACGCTCCTAACAGTAGAGAAAAATATTGCTAAGCTGAATTTACAGACCTGTAGTTACAGAAAAATACACATTAACCCTCCTGGTAATTAGCACTCCTATGTAACCACTAGTTCCTAAAGAATTTATCTTTTTTTCTCAGATATACTTCTCAGAATCTGTGAGGTGCATAATGAGTATTTGATTATTTGACTTGGATATAATAGATGCACTTTGCAGAACAGTTCCAGAACGTATCTGCAAACACATAACCTTAGGCATGAAAATTGTCCTTGCAATTAGAAAACCAATTTGGACTGAAAATCTGCATCTAAAACATGTTTAAAACAAACATTAGTATAAATAATTAAGATTACCCCATTCTAAAAAAGCAATTAGGCATAACACTTGAGCTCATCTTTATACAGTCAACCCAAGTCAACCACTGGTGCCAGAAGCTTGTGCTGAAACCAAGGCACCCGGGCATCAGGAGGCAGGGTTTAATTTCTCTCACATGCTTCAGGGCAGAGGTCTCTCACGAGGTGTACATTGGAAGAAATACCTATTCAAATAGAGGCCAAAGATTCAGCTCATGCCTTTAAATAGAGAGAATTAAAAGATGACGCCTGGCCAAAAGAACACAAAACAGCTTATTGCAGGAGCCCGCAGACTGCCATGATCTACTTTCTTGTCTTCCCTTAATGGGTTGGAATTTAGTTGAAGACCACCACCATCCACTGGAGAGTTGCCACTCTCCAGCTGTTCGGTGGTAATACAGCGGTGGAAAAGGCCTGGGGAATTTAAGCTGGACAAATACAGCTCATGGCTGGTGGTGCCTGATCTCTGCTGTTACCCTCCAGATGAAGAGCAAGGCCTGCTGGCAGAGTACCCATAACATGCATGTTCCATCATCTTCCCTCTCAATCTGCACCAATGACTCTCACTATACTTTTATATGCTGAACAGAATTTAAATATCACAGCTAGAATAGCAATAAAATAATTTTACATCCTATTGCTTCACAAAGCAACATGGAGCACAGCAATTGGCTGGCACATGGAACAGCCTGTGAGAGAAGTGACTGCAGAGCTTCTACAGCTGATGAAGGCACTAGCTGCAGCTGACAGGAAAAAAAAATCTCTTTTTTTCAGTCGTTTTGAAGTGGTTTTATTACATGGAAGTGTTACTCTGATACTCAGTCCCATAACATGGTAATTCCACAGCCACCCATGATATTTTGCTCACTGAACTGAATCATGAAGGAATTACAGAAACGCTGCCACCAGACCTGGACATGCATCGTACATCACCCCTTCTTTCTTTTGTTTTTGTTAATTTCCTATTAGCTGCATTTAGCACAGATGATAAGGTTCAAAATCCAATTAAGGAATTTGCAGGGTCACAGGTCTCCTATGGCTTGCTTTACCACATGTTCTTTATTGCGATTTTGTAGGTTAATGGGCCGTTTATGGGTTGTTTATGTGCTCTCTTTAGCAAAGAGAACATATTTTCATCTTAATCTCCAGAGCGAACACTGTGTGCTCAGCGCAGGGAGGACAGCTGAGTATCAGGCTTAAGGACCGGAGAGCAATTAACCTGGGGGGTGAACTGTGCAGACCTCCCCCGCCCGACCTTTGAGCACCAGCCCCGCCAGCCTCCCCCAGTCTTGACCATCACCTTCGCTTCCACCTAATCCATCCAGTTTCGGAGCTGCTGGAACCAGCACCAGTAATGACAGGACCGCTACTGCCGAGTCTTTTTAATGTTGCTTTCCTTACTATCTCATTCAAGAAACAACCTGATGATCAACATACATATGTAGCAGAGGAAAAGCTAATCCACAGATTTATATGGCTAGGATTGTACTTTTCGCCTGAATGGGAGAGGAATTAAGGTATTAATTGCAGATGGCAAAATGCTCCAACGCAACATTTAAACAGAGGTATTGCCATCCAGAACTGGCACCTCTTGGTTCCACCTTTTCCCTTTCCTGTTCCTGCGCTCAGTCACAAGCGGTCCATGAGGCAGCTTATAAAATACATCACTTACAGAAAAGAATGAACACATCAGCAGTTTCTCCTAGTTCAGTTCAGGCCAATTACAAGTACAATTTATACCCTCGGGTTCCCAAAGGCAAAATCAATCTCCATCAACAGAGAAATCTCAGGGAGCTCAGAAATAGGGAGAGACACATTCTAGTACAACAACCTCGAATCAGCCACAGCTGAAAGTCCCAGCCCGACGTCAGTCCCACTCCTGCAACTCCCAGCTCTGGTGGGGAGCCCTCCCTCGCCACCCGGCACGACGGCAGAGCAGGCGCAGTGCCTGCGGTGCTCCCTGCCACGCACAGAAATGCCAGGGGCCTTCATGGTATCGGCAAGCATCCTAAAGTCACCTCCTGCTTCGGTGCCAAGTTACAAGTGCCTCACTTGTCATGCATGGAACATGCTTATCGCCCGGCTCTCCAGGTGTACAATGCTGCCTCGGGATGGGGGGAAGGGGGGGGGACTCATTTGTGTCGGTGTACAAGTAAAACAGCTTCTTCTCCAATCAACCAACATGGGTTTCCTCCTGCTTTTTTCAGCTTGCTGTGACCAGTGATACTTCTAAACACCCTTGGGACCTGCACCTCAGTCAACTGCTTCCTCCATTCAAGGCCAAAGGGACCATCTAACATGAAGTTCTCTGTTACTCTGAAGTACATCAGCAGCTACAAAAATCCCCAAGAGACCGGGTGT